TGGCCAACTACTACTGTAAGTTAATTAATTGCGTAACCAAACGCCCACTAAAGGGTACAAACTAGAAAACAGTTGGATTTCACACACCATGACTATTTTCCTCTTAGAATCATTGCCGTGTGGCGTTGGTAGTCATGTCCACCCACAACCCTCTGTCTCGTGTACTTTAAATTAATTCTGATACAGATATTCTTCATTGCCATGACGCCAAACTGCCCAGATTCTACTCTGTTGGTCTCCTTCTGTCTCTGTTTCCTCTACAACTTTCTCACCATCACGATATACAATATATAAATATACATACTTTTTGTCCTTCTCATAACTTGCAGATTTTCTCCTTCTGGTGTGGGATTTTTTAATGCTCAGTCTACGAAGGTTCGGGTGGCTGGGTCACACCTGGAGAATGGGGGGTGGCAGAATCTCTAAGGACATCCTCTATGGTAAAATAAAGACGTGCAGAAGACATCGAGGCTGACTTTTACTACGATATAAAGATGTGTGAAAACGGGACATGAGTGATACAGGTCCTTAGGTGAAATCAAGGGAACAAAATGAAATGGACCGTGTTGTGTGCAGAGGGCTCACCGGAAAGGGAATGAGAATGACGGAAGAAATTATTGCAGAAATGAAGAGNGGAAAGCACTCTTTCACGAATCTCGACCACAGGTTTTACTCAAAAAAAAAAGTTGTTCTCTGTGCCTAAATTTTAAAATTCCACAAAAAAGGGGTATGGCTTTTAATTTTTCTTTTTGTGGGGGTTTTGCACCAGGGCGTTTGCTTGGCTAATTTTAAAATTTGGGATCTGGGGGGAATTCTCATCTAAATTGTTTTTTTGGTCCCGGGGTTTTAAAATCGCTCATTGCATTAGTGGGGTGAAACTTTCATACACCCCAGACCGTTTGCGTTCATCTTAAAAAACGGTTTTGAGCGCGAACGTTGGGGGAGGCAATGGCAAACTACTACTGTAAGTTAATTAATTGCCTATCCAAACGCCAACTAAAAGTTACAAACTAGAAAACAATAGGATTGCATACACCATGATTTTTTTCTTCTTAGAATCATTGCCATGTGGCGTTGGTAGTCATATCTTTCCCACAACCTTCTGTCTCGCGTAGTTTCAATCAGTTCTGATACAAATATTCTTCAATGCCATGACACCAAACTGCCCACCCTATTCTCTCTTGGTCTCCTTTTGTCTCTGTTTCCTATCCAACTTCCCCACCATCATAATACACTACATACTATTTATACATATAGTTTTTGCCCGTCTCATAAGCTGTAGATTTTCTTCTTCTGATGTGGATTTATTTATTATGCTCAGTCTACGAAGGTTCATGCGGCTGGGTCACACCTGGAGAATGGAGGGTGGCAGAATCTCTAAGGACATCCTCTATGGTGAATTAAAGACGTGTAGAAGATATCGAGGCCGACCTATATAAAGATATAAAGACCGATATAAAGATGTGTGAAAACGGGACGTGAGTGATACAGGTACTGAGGTGAAATAGTGGGGGGGGGGGGGATGCCATGGATCGTGTTGTGTGAAGGGGGCACACCAGGAAGGGAATGAGAATGACGGAAGAAATGATTGCAGAAATGATGAGGGCTAAGCGTCTGAGAAAAACAGACTAAACACAAATGTTGACAACAATGGTCCTGAAATTCCATGCTATCATTGTGGAAGACTTTTCTCAGCGTGGACGGGTCTTTCTATTCACACTCGCCATCGCCATCCTCATGGAGCAATATAACTATATCGTCTGGAAAGACGGAAAGGTGCCAGTCAGTCAATGTGGGCAGTCAGTTTTCTTTGGGAGTCAGTTTTTTTCAAGACATCTTTATTAATTTTTTTTTTAAACTGGCCATAGTTTTATGATTATGAAGACCAGTAATAGATGGCTAAATATTAAATAACACCAATAAAACAAAACACAATATAACTGTTACTTACTGCCTTTATCTTACCACTTTTGCGGTGGAGGCAAGGTGTCTTTGAGCCTAAGTACAGCCGCATGTCTAGTGCTGTCGCCACGACTGTGCAGGTAAGGATTTTATTTTGCTCCGATAAAAAAAAAATCGCCAGCCTAACCAAGGATTCGAAACTCGGTCTCTCGCTTGAAAGCTCAGTATTCTAACCACTCGTCCAACCGCTCCTGACTGAACCATTATGATTTGACTTATGTGTATCTGTGCAGACTCGGATCTTGGTCACTCACGGCATTCACTGGCTGCCCCTGGTGGAGACCGTGGTTGTAATGAACAATGGACGAATCAGCGAAGTCGGCACCTATGATGAACTCGTCTCTAGAGATGGACCATTTGCCCAGTTCCTGAGAGAGCACATCCAGGGAGAACTGGCTTCTGAAACAGAAAACGAAGCTGACCCAGAAGGTTGGTGCTTGTTTGTGAAGATTTATTTGCAGACTAATAAAAATAAATTCACGGACGCAGGGGGAAAACAAATAACTGACATTATTAACTTTCAAAAAAAATTCCTCTTAGCCATGGCAGGTCATATGCTGAACTCAGGGCACATTGTAAACAAAGAAGATGCATTTCGAATGATTTACACTTCTGCCAACCACAGATCACTAAGATTTGTGGAAGTGACTGCGATAAACGGATTTAGTCTATAATTATGCAGACAAAACGACATGCTTTTCACCGTGCATGTACCCTGGTGAAGCAGACAGTTTTTGAATGAAGTCGATTTTGTGTTTGAGTTCGAAGGATTCATTTATTTCCTTCTTTTCTAATCAATTGTTACGGTAGTATGCACCTGACGAGATACAGCGAAATATTTCAGGCAATGAATTGTGCAGTTTATTGTTTGTGTATCCTTTGTTTAAATTATTAACTTTGATAATTCCAATGATGGTATAATATATGTTTCTGTCTTTTATGACAAATTTTCTGTTAATCCTTTGTGTTTGACTCCTTAGTTTAAGTAATTTTGTCGAGTATTTTCTCTGTTAAACTCAATCAGACCTACCTAAGAATTTTTGCTTTTAAGGTCAGATATTTGAGAAAAAAAAAGGTTAAAGTAACAACTGCTTGGGCAATCGAAGAGTTAATGACATGATAATCGATGCGGACTGATCATAGACAGTATCGATTCTCGAAAATTGAAATACTTTAGCAATATTAAACGCGGTAATAGTTTGTAGAATGACTGACTCCCGAGAGAGAGAGAGAGAGAGAGAGAGAGAGAGAGAGAGAGAGAGAGAGAGAGAGAGAGAGAAGATGGAGTTTAAAAGACTAAATGCTATCGGCTAGCCCCACTGCTGAGGCAACAAGCGACAAGTGATTAATATCATCTACATCCTCACATGGAGTAGCTCATGACAACAGAAAATAAACACCAGCAAAAAAGGCTGTCTCTGGAAGGCCTCAACAAACAACACAAGAAAAGACAAGAGTCGGTGAAACCAGCTTTTTTATAGAGAATGTTGGGAAAAGACAGAGTAAGGAAAACTAGCAATAGAGAGAATTTTGGAACAAGACAGGGTCAGGAAAACTAGCTTTAAAGAGAAGGTTAGAACAAGACACGGTCAGGGAAACTAGCTTTAAAGAGAATGTTGGAACAAGACACAGTCAAAAAAACTAGCTTTAAAGAGAAGGTTGGAACAAGACAAGTTCAGGAAAACCAGCTTTAAAGAGAAGGTTGGAACAAAGGTCAGGAAAACCAGTTTTAAAGAGAAGATTGAAACAAGACAGGGTCAGGAAAACCAGCTTTAGAGAGAAGGTTGGAACGAGACAGGGTCAAGATGACAGCGGCCATTGTAGTGTTTTCCAGCCGTCACTAATAATACACAAAGAGAATGGAATTCTTGCGTTGTTTGTAATTAGCGACATGCAAAAGTAAAAAAGGAAGTCTTTTTTTTTTCTTAAGATTTTCGCTGGTGCTACGGAGTTTCGTGCATCTGAGCTGAAACCCGTCTTAGAAATATGTTCTACCTTACTTTACCTAGTTTTTACCACTATGTTTTCCAGTGGAAGAACTCAAGAGAGCTATCATCCAGAGGTTGGAGTCTGTAACTGGGCCAGTGCTAGACGGCGCCTCATCGGCTGATGAAAGGTATCTCATACGTTTTAAATTAGTATATACTCAATAAGAATGAGACAGACACTGTTCTTTGGCCATGTAATGAGAAGAGAGGCATTGGAAAACATCGTGACAACTGGAAAGATAAGTTGAAAGAGGGGTAGAGGTAGACCATGAGAGATGATGCTGGATGGGCTGAAACGATGGCAGAGAGGGATATCAATAAGAGAGCTGTTGGTGATCTGTTGGGGATGCATGAGCGCCTACGCAAACTGGCAGGGCACATGATGATGATGATGATAAACTCAATACAGATGTGTGTACTTTGGCAACATTTTGTTTGCAAACACATGGAGCACTTTTCTTCTTCGTCTTCTTTTATGCCTCCATTTACCTCATCGAAGCGTTAATGAAGAACTAGAACTAAGGCATTTGTGACTAACTCCCTGTATTACACTCTTAGATATCGATAAAAAATGTTAAACGCACACTGGGATGTTCATGAGGAAAAAAGAAACAATCCCATAATCTTAAAAAGGACGACTTTTTTTTTAAAGTTGGGGGGAGGGAATGAGCAGGGATCGAAACATACTGGGGTGTGAGAAAATAAGAAATTCAATGGCGTGTAATACAGACTTGACTGTGACTTGAAATATGAAACAAGCTTTGATGAAAATATGAAATGCGCCCTTGGATAATAATAACAATATGAAATGTGCCCTTGGATATTAATTACAATATGAAATGTGCCCTTGGATATTAATAACAATATGAAATAGACCCTTGGATATAAAGGAATTTTTGAAATACACACTTGAAAGTGAATTGAAATATGAAACAAACACTTGGCTTGAACTGAAAATATGAAATATACCTTTGGATATGAATGTCCCCGTGTAGGTTTCGGGGCCCTGTTATAGGGAAAACAAGAATAGACCCACTGCCTACCCAAAAGCATGTCGTAAGAGTCGACTTATTGGGAGCTTCTTTCAAAGTCGAAGTGCATCTGCCTGAGAGGCAGGAAACTAACAGTCTGAATACAAATTAGTTACATCTGTCACACCGATGCACTCAAGTTCTGGAACATGGCTGCAGTCCAGAAGTGGACGAACAACCAGAACTTTCCATCAGAGTTTACAGCTTGGGAACGCGAAAAAAAAAAGACATAAATGAATAAATAAGATTGACACCTGTTTACGAGCTTCATTGATATTTGTTGATATTTATCCTTCTGTAAGATGTGGCCTGTTTGTTTCCTGTTACACAATTCCGAGGCCGGTCAACTCTAAATAGTTCCGTGTTATAAAAGTAAAGCAAAGCACAATTTTCCCACGCATTCAGGGGTGTTGGGCATATAGGACTAGACCAAGCTTTTATAGACCATTCAGCACTTTCGGGGTGTTTTGATCAGCATTACGCCGGTCGCCTCTACTTCCCAGGACTCCAATGGGATCCATTCGAGGTTGTCGACCTCCGAGCTAATGTCATTTTTTTTAAAGTACTGTACAGTCAGGATACAAATCCATGACCTTCCGACCCGCAGGGGAGAGTATAGCCTTTGCAAAACAGTCTCTTTCTGTATTGTAAAGTAAATGCTTAGAAAATGTCGACTGGCTGATTGCCAGATAATTGTCGGTGTGCCTTATGGCGTAATGCATGTGCACTTAGTGGTTTTTCGTGACAGCTGCTTTCATCATATACGAATAACAGTTCCAGTCATTTGGTATGGCCTTTATCGGCACAGAAACGGGGCAGTTATAGTGCAACCCATTTAATGCAATGAAGCTGAGACCCTGAATGATAGTCTGATACCACGTCAGCCGTTTTGTCAGACGAAAACGTTGGCCTGTATTCGTATACCAAAAATTAATATGGCCTAGGAAAGGAGTCCCTTGTTTTAGTGTATGTTGTGTCAGTTTCATATTTGTGTTAGGGCACGCAGGCGTGCAAGAAAATGAGCAATCTGGTCGGCTTGCAGGTAAAGCTACTGTGGAGGACAGACGAGCATTTGATAACGCTGATATTCTTAACGCTCTACAAAAAGTAAGACGTTTGCGAGAACCAAATGATAATTGTGAATCAGACAAGAGCACTATGAAGGAAGCCACAAAAGAATAAGAAAAAAAAATATAACTGGTGTTGTGAGCCGTTTCATGCTGCGGGATTTACTAAGGAGGGGATCCGGGCACTTATGGACTGACTGGTTCGATGTGCAATGAGAATAATATGTTGACTAAGTAACTAACTGTATGTTGTCATTTACTTTTATTGTGAATGAAACTATCATTCACACAGTTTTGGGTTGTATGGGTTTGTGTATATGCAATTGTACGATTCACATATCAAAACCATCCCCACTACAAATACTTTTAACGTTTTCCAAACAGAAGGTCAAGCGTTGTGAGAAGCCGTAGAACATCCATGACAGCAAGTGCTAGGATTGGCTCCTCTATGACAATGAGTGCTAGGAGCGGACAACAGATCTCTGTGCTAGAGTCGAAACGGACACAGAGACGCAGCAGTGAACTTGTGGAGTCTGGCGCTTCCAACTATCTCAGTGAAGTGGAGACATCGTTACAACTTCCTCGGAGTGCCTCGACAACTCCAGCTGTTGGGGAGAGGCTCACTGAGAGTGAGTACGGAGAGGAAGGCAAGGTGAGTCATTCATAAGTATTCTAAATGAAAATTACATTCTAGACATATCAGGTAACAGAAATGTTACCACAGATGGCAATGTTAGGCAAATACAGCAGGAACAGAGCCCGAGGTCGACCACGCTGAAGATAGACCTCAGAAATGACATACAGGGTAACAGACAAGACACCACAGATAGCAAGGTTAGGCAGATACTGCAGTAACAGAGCCAGAGATTGACTTCGCAGAAGATGGACCACAGAAATATCGGAGACCCTTTTACACACAAAGCGAACATAAGGGCTTTTTTCAGAGATCTTCTGCCGAGTGCTTTGTTCTAGACGTACTGGTGCAGCCTTTTCTTTTGAATAAACAAAGCAGGCTTAGTTAGAGATCATGAATCAAGGGCAACATATGGTTTCTACAAAACTGCCCAACAAATTGTGTTGTTGCATAAAAGGTATTACTCAAGCTTGATCTGTTCTGAGTTGGAAGGCAAGGTGAGCTATACATAGAAAACACACACACACAAAAGTGGCAGATTCTGTACGCTCAGGGTAACAGACAGGGCACCACAGAGAGCAATGTTATACCGATACAGCGTTAAATAGATCCAAAGGTCGACCACGCACAATAAAGTTGTGGCTTTAAAAAAAAAAAGGGATGTCTTCTGTTTTTCAGACGCTGCTGAAGTTGCATACTAATTCATACATTTAGTAGTAGTAAATGTTGCCCCACCAGGACACCACACAGAGCGATAAACATCCAGTGACACAAAGTGCCACCATGCGGATGAGGATCACCCATGGATAGGTCCCAGAAACCGCGTTCAGTCGTCAGGCTATATTGCGGCCCCTGGCAAAAACTAGGGTGGGGCTTCAAAATAACGAAAAATTGCGTCCCACATGGGAACACGACTTTTTTTTAATTCATACATTTCACATCTCCCCAATGAAAGACAATGATTAAGGTCGTGATCCTTTTGTTTACACATTGCGTTAATACCCATCCTCACATATGTGCTGTGTATATTTCAACGTTTCAGGTCAAGCTGGGCATCTACCTCTTCTACATCAGGGCCATCGGTTTAGCTTTCTTTGCCACTGCGCTGCTGTTCCAGATTCTCAGCGGAGCTGCAAATATTTTCTCAGGTAACAGTATTCCTTTCAATTGTAGTTGTTGATCTTCCTTCTTTCTGTGCTTTAATTAATATCCTACCCAGCAGGGAAATCCACAGGTCACGGGACGGTCTAATATTTCAGGGGGTGGTAGATAGGCTGCATGCAGTCGTGGGACCTAGGCTGCACTCTCTCGTGAGAGGTAGGTGGGTTGGGGTTAGTGCTAGTTCTAGATGTTTTGGGGTCGTTAAAAGCATCAGAAAGGCAGGAAACCCAGTCTTACCACCCTCTAAAATGTTGGACTGTCCTGTGACGTCAACTGGGGATAGGATTTTAATAAAGCACCCTTCTTTCTGCCCTCATCCTAGTGGCTACGGGAAGCTTTGACCTCTTTGAGATTACACAATCCCAGCCGGATGGAAAGCCAACAGGGCAGATCTTAGATACACATAAGGATTTGGAGTCTCAGATACACATAAGGATATGGAGTCTCAGATACACATAAGGATATGGAGTCTCAGATACACATAAGGATGTGGAGTCTCAGATACAAAAAAGGATATGGAGTCTCAGATACAAAAAAGGATATGAAGTCTCAGATACACTTAAGGATATGGAGTCTCAGATACACATAAGGATATGAAGTCTTAGATACACATACGGATAAGGAGTCTCAGATACGCATACGGATATGGAGTCTCAGATACACATAAGGATGTGGAGTCTCAGATACAAAAAAGGATATGGAGTCTCAGATACAAAAAAGGATATGGAGTCTCAGATACAAAAAAGGATATGGAGTCTCAGATACACTTAAGGATATGGAGTCTCAGATACACATAAGGATATGAAGTCTTAGATACACATACGGATAAGGAGTCTCAGATACGCATACGGATATGGAGTCTCAGATACACATAAGGATATGGAGTCTCAGATACACAAAAGGATATGGAGTCTCAGATACACATAAGGATATGGAGTCTCAGATACACATAAGGATATTGAGTCTCAGATACACATAAGGATATGGAGTCTCAGATACACATAAGAATATGGAGTCTCAGATACACAAAAGGATATGGAGTCTCAGATACACATAAGGATATGGAGTCTCAGATACACATAAGGATATGGAGTCTCAGATAAACATAAGGATATGGAGTCTCAGATACACATAAGGATATGGAGTCTCAGATACACATAAGGATATTGAGTCTCAGATAAACATAAGGATATGGAGTCTCAGATAAACATAAGGATATGGAATATCAGATACACATAAGAATATGGAGTCTCAGATACACAAAAGGATATGGAGTCTCAGATAAACATAAGGATATGGAGTATCAGATACACATAAAGATATGGAGTCTCAGATACACATAAGGATATGGAGTCTCAGATACACATAAGGATATGGAGTCTCAGATACACATAAGGATATGGAGTCTCAGATACACATAAGGATATTGAGTCTCAGATACTCATAAGGATATAGAGTCTCAGATACACATAAGGATATGGAGTCTCAGATACACATAATGGATATGGAGTCTCAGATACACAAAAGGATATGGAGTCTCAGATACACAAAAGGATATGGAGTCTCAGATGCACATAAGGATATGGAGTCTCAGATACACATAAGGATATCGAGTCTCAGATACACATAAGGATATTGAGTCTCAGATAAACATAAGGATATGGAGTCTCAGATACACATAAGGATATGAAGTCTCAGATACACATAAGGATATGGGGTCTCAGATACACATAATGATATGGAGTCTCAGATACACATAAGGATATGGAGTCTCAGATAAACATAAGGATATGGAGTCTCAGATACTCATAAGGATATGGAGTCTCAGATACACAAAAGGATATGGAGTCTCAGATACACAAAAGGATATGGAGTCTCAGATACACAAAAGGTTATGGAGTCTCAGATACACATAAGGATATGGAGTCTCAGATACACATAAGGATATGGAGTACAAATAATTTCCATTTTTATCTGCTGATGGCAGTCTTGCCTTATACATTTCTTGTCACCGCGCCGGTGTAGCCTTGGTGCAGATTTAATCATATGGGCTGTTATTTTCCTTTTTGATTTTATTCCAGGGCTCTAAACCCGATCCTAGCTGCGAGCGGTTTGGCAGCAGACTGCTTTATGTTGTTTCGAATGTAGTGTCGAGAGTCGATCGTTTAGAACTCAAAGCAAAAAAGAAGCGGGGATTTGTTTTGCAACGTCCTGTAAAGGACAACCGCTTTACAATATGTCGAAGGCACACATCTGAGTTCGTGCTCCAAACATGTCAAAATTAAGTATTAGTCTTCACCCGTAATTTTTGTTTGTTTTTTAAATCTCATCTCAATGTTCAAGCACAGTTTCCTCGAAAACAAGGATTTAGCACTTGGGGATTTGAAGTATTGACAACGATATTTGAGGAGTGTATCCGGCTAAAGTAAAAATTGCGGTATCATTAAAAACATGGAACGAAAGTTAAAAAAGCCTTGGAAAGCAAATTCTTGAGGAAACTGCCGAAACATAAATGGGATGAATTCCTATTGGACAAAAAGCTACATGTCTGGACCCCTACTGGTATCAGTTATGTAAATACTGTGTTTGTTCAAGGGCACTTTTTTTGGGAAGAAGGGGGGCGGAGGGAGGGAACCAAGGCCCTCTATGGAATCCTGGAGACGGCCTTGGGAAAACAGGCCTACTGCACATTAACTCTCTCGATACGAAAGAAATCACGCATTTGTTGATATCTACTCAATGTTCTACATTTATAATAGTCGTGTTCCTAATTCGGTCAGTACAGGAACTTTAACTCTACCCCATTTCCTAATTAAACCCGAAGTCTTTAATGCAGTTTTAATTTGAACTGGCGAGGCGCAGACATATACTTGTATCACTCATAGGACCACAAACAAATGAGCACATTCAGCAGACTTGCCCACTCTACCAACAACTGCGAAAAGACACCTGGCCTCAAGAGCAAAGTGTGCAGAGCCAGCTATTTGGAACCATGAAGGACCTGCTACTGACATGCGAGTTAACAGAGGAAACCCACCTGATGGTCTGATCTGAGCATACGAAACCGAACGCAAAGAAGAAGAAGAAGACTCAAAGTAGGATAGAATAAGTTGCTGTAGCATTTGCATGGAGTTAACAGGCACATTGAGAAAGGCATCCTAAGTTTTTTAAAACTGGGATTATTGGGCCAAAATGTGCCAAAATGTGCGGGTTATATAGTCTAGTTTTAATCCACAGGGCAAGATACCAACACCTTTTGTTTAAATTGTTAAAGCAGAAGAGGAAGAAGGAAGATTTAGTAAACCGGACAATGAAGAAAAGATATACTGACGTTCTAAAGAAAGTGAACATCAAAGAAGATTGGCTAATAAACAGCATTTTGTTTCGGAAACTGAATTATTATAACCGTATCAAGCGCTAGGCGGATTGCAGAACAAATAGCAGAAGGCATGGCACCAAATAGGAGGAGAAGGGGTCGAACAACACGAAGATGTTCACAGGATATAAGTGACTATTTCGACATGAACGTGCTCGAAGCAGGAGAATCGGCCAGAGACTGAGTTTTTTTTTCAGGCAGACCGTGGGGATAGTGCCATTCTGGAAATTACTTACAACATGATGATGATGACAAAGATATAAAACCGAACGAAAAGTATATTAGCAAGCTTCACAATATAACAAATACGAACAAAACGTGAACGTTGCGGCTATGGAGCCTTCATCAGCACATACACAAATCAAACAATACCAGGGCCAGGGAAATAAATACCCCCTGTGGAGTTCCAGGGGTCATAACTGAGGGGGTGGGGTGGGGGGGGGGGGGGTAGAGATAAAACTGAGTGGGCATTTCAGTCCCCTGGGAAGTTTTGATGAAAAAGTGTTGAAAAAGAAAATTAATGCATCAAATATAAATGAGCATTGTCTCTCGACGTAATGTTCCCTTTTCCGAAACACAGGCATCTGGTTGAGCTTGTGGACCGATGATTCGTTTCTTGCCAACGTCTCCAGGTCTGGGGAGGAGGAGTACCAGGACAAGACGGCGCTGTATCTGGCCATCTATGGTGTCTGTGGAGTGGCTCAAGGTACTTTTGTTTGGTGCCCAACATATGTGAATATTATCATGTTCTTCTAGGGCCCTTAGAAGGAAAGATTCTTGTGTCCTGTTCTGGTTACCACAAGTAATGATTTAACTATCTCATTCTTCTTCTTCTGCTTTTATCAGAAGATGCATTGCTTTTTGCTCGTTTACAGCAGGGCTGTGATATTTATCTTTTCGGCTGAAACATCCCACTTCAGCCGACACATCGCACTTCGGCAAGCATGTGTTGACCGGACTAGCCTTACTGTCCATCTTATTTACCCCAAGTAAGGATTCTCTTATCTCATGCATGTCACCACAAGTAAGGATTCTCCTATTTCAATTATGTCACCAGAAGTAAGGATTCTCCAATCTCATTCAGCTCACCACAATTAAGGATTCTCCTAGCTCATTCAGGTCACCAGAAGTAAGGATTCTCCTATCTCATTCAGCTCACCATCCGCTTATCCGACTCTGGCTACCACAGTTCTTCTTCCCTGCCGACAATATCCTGACAAAAACAATACCGTCCCTCTTTCTCCTTTTCTGCACCCGAGTAGCCACAATTAGAACTGGATATCTAAAAGCATGTAGAATTCTAGCCGATTTGTCAAACTAAAAAACCCATCTTGGGAATGTTTTACAGACAGACAGACAGACAGACAGACAGACAGACAGACAGACAGACAGACAGACAGACAGACAGACAGACAGACAGACAGACAGACAGACAGACAGACAGACAGACAGACAGACATAGATAGACAGACAGACAGGCAGGCAGGCAGACAGACAGACAGACAGACAGACAGACAGACAGACAGACAGACAGACAGACAGACAGACAGACAGACAGACAGACAGACAGACATACAGACAGACAGACAGACAGACAGACAGACAGACAGACAGACAGACAGACAGACAGACAGACAGACAGACAGACAGACAGACAGACAGACAGACGGACGGACGGACGGACAGACAGACAGACAGACACAGACAGCGAGAGATATACAGAGATAGACAGAAACAGTGAGAAAGAGATACAGGAAAGACAGACTGATATACAGACAAACAGACAAACGTGTAGACAGACAGACAGAGTATGCAACAGTGAAAGAACGCTACAAGAAATACACATAAAACCAGCGGGAGGGAGATTAACAGCGAGGAAGAAAGAGAAGAAACAGAGACAGACAAACATACACGCACACTAGCACGCATGTGCACCCACACACACACACACACACACACACACACACACACACACACATAGTGGGACTGACGGGGGAGAGGGAACAGAAAAAAAAATAACTGTGAGTTTGAAGAAGACAATGAAATTGGGGTACACACAAAGTTGGAAATATCCAAGAGAAGAGAATTAAGCGTAGCACACACACACACACACACACACACACACACAACACTATATATATATATATATATATATATATATAGAGAGAGAGAGAGAGAGAGAGAGAGAGAGAGAGAGAGAGAGAGAGAGACTGGGGGAGGGTAAGAGACAATGAAATGAAAAGAAAAATTACTACAAAACCAGACAAGTATAAGAGATTTAAAAAAACCTGAATCCAGGACAAGAACTCACCAACTCCTCCACCTTGTTGTTTTCCAGGAGGGTTCATCCTGGTCTACGCCATGATCACGGCAGAGAAGATGGCTGATGCCAGCGGGAAGCTTCATGCGGTAATGAATGTTGCTAGCAACTGTTTTTTGCTTCTCTCCCACCAGACAGTTATCTCAAGCACCTTATTAAATTCGAAACGACTGACTTCACAGGCCGTGCTCATCCCAAACTGGCTCAGTCTCTCGCCACACAAGGGCTAGCCTTTGCTAAGTGCCTCGCACAAAAGATAAACTCTGTAGATCTAGCGACCACCCCTAGAGTTCTTCAGAACAATTGAACCCGAGGACTGTGAGACGCTTCAGTGCAACGAACCCATGACTTTCAGAGCACGAGGCAAATAGCTTGACCACTTCGTCCCGATTTAACCCCTAACCCCTCCACCCCACTCCTCCACCCAACCCCTCCACCCCATCCCTTCCCATTGTATTTCTTATTGGTAGGAGTCTAAAAAATTAATTGCAAATCCAGCATTGGCGTATTTTGGTGTTTGTGATTTAACCTGGAAATTTAACATTTAGTAGTTTGCCATTGCCACTGTACGGTTGGCTCACAATACCACTGTCGAAACCAACGCATCGCGGTCAGTTACCAAATGGTCCGCAGCTGGGATATAGCATGGCACTCGGAAATACAAAGGGTGTTAATACTAGAAGTAAATAAATGAATAAGCAAAAAAATAAATAGAATAGAATAAGGGTGGATAAGTATATTTTCAAAAACTTGCAAATTCATTGGTATCTAAATAGATAATTGCGCAGTTTTTTTTTTTTTTTTTTTTTTCTGGCATATTTCAGTTATCTTTTTAAGCTGCTCACCGCAGAGATTACATTAACTTGTAACGGAAACGTAAAAAATGGAATTCTTTTAGGTGAAATCCACAAATCATAGTGTCATATGATTCTGTTTCCCGTCCGTTTTAGGATGACATTTTTCGTTATTTGAAGCCCTGCTCTGGCTATTGCCAGGGGCCGCAATATAGCCCGGCCATAAATATGGCCTAATGGCTAAACGCGGTTTCTGGGACCTCTCCACGGTGATCCTCACCCACATGGTGGCACATTTTGTCATCGGGTGTTTATCGCTTGTGTGATGTCCTGGTGGGATAGAAAGTTAGTCCTAGTGTCATTTGTTGCGCTTGATATCTCACCATGAGAGTCGAAGGTTAACCATGTAATCCTTTATTCTACTTTTGCTTTTTAAAGAAACGTGAATGCACGTTGCTATAATTTCATTCATATTAAAATTCTCAAGAGCTATATTGATCTTTTTCTGATATACAGAGATGAATGGTAGAGTTGAGACAGCTCCCTCTCTTACGAGATACGCCTAGCCAAAATAAGGACCACTAATAGACGGAACAGATTCACGACCACATTTAGGGCACAACAGCAAACCATTAGGAAGTCTCAACCGGACAGAAGATAACCAGCGAGGCAAAACTCACCAGGAAGCTAAAGATGACAAGAACACAGTGGGACACAGTCAGGAAAAGCGGATCTACCAACCTGGAACACATACCACAAACTGAGCCAAACACTTGGCTCAAATAAACCAGATCATAAATATAACCTCAGGTTGAACATAGTCATCTTTCTGATATTTTTTCAGGATGGACATATAAAAATGAATCATGGACAGTGGAACGATTACTGAGAATTTTGTTTTATATGCGATTGTTGAGAATATCTTGGACAGATAAAAAGTAGCAATGAAACTTCTTGACAGAAACTGACTAACGTTAAGAACTGGTAGTCTTGTAGTCTGGTAGTCTGCTAGTCTGGTAGTCTGGTAGTCTGGTAGTCTGGTAGTCTGGTAGTCTGGTAGTCTGGTAGTCTGATAGTCTTAGTTTCAGCTTCATAGCAACGGGTCGCCCCATCTTTGCTCCGCTCCTGTGCCAACGAAAAACACTCAGAATGTTTATCACAGTCCCTTGTGGAAAGATTGACAGACTGCTGTCTCAGCATATCTAGCATACACTCGCATTAAAGCATATGGTAGCCATCCGAAATGCTAACACAAACAGTCCAACATTAGAAATGCAGTTCATAATTGATGATAGCAGAACTTGTCGCCAACAGATCAGCAGCTGCCCACGCGATCAATTGTAATCACATACGGGCACCGCCAACAACATTGCACGACAGGCATCACGCCATTTTCTGAATCTACAATTTACACCACCACGTTGGTCACAGTCGAAAATACATTCCAAATGCAATCCGCAGCTAATAGGGTCACGCCATGCATTCAGCTCAGAAGCTGGGCAACGAAACTATATCCAGTCTACAAATAGAGCAAAAATACTTCGGCCACCGTCCGGCAGAAGCAAAAAATGTGCCTGTGCTTCGAGCAGCGCCGCTGTCTAGAGTCCATTTTAACCGGAAGTCCACGTTAAGAACTGATTGCTGACATCAGAAGGAGACAATCTACATACGTTGGTCATGTCATGAAATGGAGAAAACTGGAGTATCGTTACGGGGGGGGGGGGGGGGAAGGGGATAGAGGGAAAAAGAGGGAGAGGAGACCAAGAGAGAAGATGCTGGACAGTCTGACGTCATGGCGTGGAAGACTATCAAACATAAAATTGATTGAAAGTACACGAGACAGACGGTCGTTGAAAGACATGACTATTAAGGCCACACGGCTTGGACTATAAAACAAAGAATTAGAGAATTACAATGTGTAATTCATTTATATAAGGAACGCTGAGGAAAATCTCGTCTGACAGGAATATGTTTTATTTTTGTGCCAGGACACACTGGGGTAAGAGGGAATGAACGAGCGGATTGGCTTGCTGGCGCGGCCACGGTAAGTGCAGGAAAAGGTATGGGTCGGGCCGACATTCTCAGTGCTCTCAAGGTGGCAGAATGGTAGGTGATTCAGGAGACGACGTTGAATCGGCAGCACTTAAAAGACGACAAGAACTTCAGGTCAAAAGAGGTGTCGCCAAGCATGAACACTATTAGTTAGTTGCGTATCCTTTACAGGACGTTGCAGAACCAACCCCAGCAGCCCCTGGCTGTTGTGTGGTTTCTCTAGGCAAATTTACGTCCATTGCTTTCTGGACAGTCGATCCCCTGATACCACTGTCAAAACCAACGCAAGACGCATGGCCTGCAGCTGGGATCGAAGCCGGCACCCCGGCAGTATGAAGCGTTCGCATCGACTTAGCTACAGAGCCGAAGGGACACTATACAGGTAGATAAAGAAGACTCGTAAACCAACACAGAACCGGTGTTTTCAGTAGCCACAGGCTGGGGGATGTACTGAAGATGGGATGCGAGCTCTTATTGACTTGTCCTATTTGTAATGAGGGTAATCTTTCGATCAACTAACTTATATAAGTACACCACAGACGGTTCCTATAGGAAGAATTAAATCTGATGATATGTGTTGCAGGCAATGCTGTACAACATCCTCCGATCCCCGATGTCCTTCTTTGACACTACACCTGGAGGCCGCATTGTCAACAGGTTTTCCAGGGACATTGAAGTCATCGACAACACTTTACCTGCCACACTGAAGCAGGTAAGATCTTATGTCATGTAATGACAATCGACGTCACTGCCCATTGTGCCTTCCCATGCGTGCTCAGTACTGGGATGCGGGAACCTTTTCAAGATACCTCTCGTTTCGACCAGCGTTTCCTGTTAATCTTTTCTTTTTTTTTTAAATTACCTTTTTTGTCTTGTTCGTTGAGTTTTCCAGTCAAGGTTTGTGCCTTATTTAGTATTCCCTTGATAAAGACTTTGGTCGAAACGTTCGGTTGTGTTTGTGTTCGTCTTTTCCAATCCTTCCATTGAGCTTTTTTATTCACATTTTGTATTATTTTGAGCATTTAAAGTTGGAAGACCAAGGAAGACTAGGAGAATAGACGTTGTACAGTTTAGCATCATTATATAGAAGAACATTCATAGCATATATGATTGTCAGTACACAAGACAGCCTGCTGGGAACTTGCATTATTAGCATCATCGAACAGCATAGGCTATAACGACCAAAAATAAGAACAAAACACACATTCTACTTCACCAGCAGGACTTTGCAGAATCAACCTCAGCATTTGTTGACTGATTTGGTTTAAGTGGGCAATTTTAAGTTCTGTAGACTGCCATTGTCCTACTCGACGATCGGCTCTCGAAACCCTTGTAGAAATAAATGCAAGGCGGTCTGCTTCCAAATCGCCTACATGTGGAATCGAACCGGTCACCTCGGAAAAACGAAGCGCTTTTGCAACGCCTAAACCAGACACTGATTTCAGCAGTATATTTAGCTAAACAGAATATTAAAATGTACCATGCTTTCTGTATCATTTTAATAGGCTCTAACTCGCCTAAGGTATTTAACTTCCAATACAGCTTTATATAACAATTTTGAGTTACTGTCATTCCTTGCTACACATCTTTCTGGTTGGTATTCATTTCCTGCATTTTCCTTTGAAGTCGGAGTAATTCCCTCTGAGAGGCGAGGAAATGTAGTCTGAAAACAAAAAACAAGCCAGATTTGTATGCACTTAAATTCAACTTATGGAACAAAACTCTATAAGTCCAGAAATGGGAGAACAGTCAGCATTTTCTCCCCTAGTTGACAGCAAAGTGAACGCTAAGAAAAAGAATATTTCCTGCATTCTCGTGTGTCATAGAGCTTCATCTGGCTTCACAAATACGTGGCTTTTTCTTGGAGAGACCGCAGTTAAGGGATTTAATGTATTCTTGACTTGTAACATTGTCTATTCATGTTATGTGCTGGTGAACGTTCTCTCGCTGCAACGTTTGCTTGTCCTTGGTGATTGGAATAATGTGAGATTGACTAGTTATACTACTCGTTTGGTTTGATATTACTTTCATGTATTACCAAACGTATGAAAATATCTTATTCCGCAGACATTCGGTGGCATCATCCGAGTACTCAGTACAATCATCACCATCTGCTATGGAGTGCCTATTTTCCTGAGTGTCATGGTACCCGTTGCAATCGTCTACGTGTTGATCCAGGTATTTGGGGGCATTTCTTTTTGTTATACTGTTCTGATATCCTAAAACTAGTACGTTCAAAATAAGAATTGTCAAATGTTATGCATTCCTAAACCCAAGGCTGTTGTTTCTAGAGGAGAAAAGATGCTGGCATTCACAAAAACTGTCTTTAAACCAAAAAAAGTGCCTGCACTCTCCGCAAAGCGTCTATTTCGGTAGGGCTGAAAAACATTACGCAATAAAAAAGGTGTTCTACTGTGTACCGTTGCTTACCGCCTGGACAGTGAACACGCAATCAGTTTAAATGAGCCTGCAAATTGAATACAAGGGTGGGTTTAAAGAAATATGGTCTAGTCTAAAATTGGTACTAGCATAAGTTATTGGAAGCAACAGACGAGTTGTTAACTACATAGTGTCAAATGTTCAGTCACACTATAGAAGCCGACACATAATACCTGCTGAACATGAAAGTGGTAAATGGATGTTAATTTTTTTTTTTTTTTTTTAAATACCATTCTTCTTCTTTTCCTCTCATCCATGTATATTATCGAAGTGTTTTGATGAGATTATGGATCTTCAGTGTGTTTTTTGCAATACTTTGTATACATTTCTCTTTATTTCTGTAAGCCTGTTTTGATGCTTTCGTTCCATTTGTCTTTCCCTTACTCTATTGCCATCGTATTGTTTTCAACATTGCTCTCCGGGGCAGTTGGTATAAGCGCATTATGTCTAGATGACCAAACCATCTCATCTCTTGTTCTTTGATAAACTGTATGACTTTTTCATCTTCTTTTCTCAATAACAACAACAACAACAACGACAACAAAAATTCATATCCTCTATAATGCACTTTTTTTTACAAAATGCTAAAGGCGAATAGGGGAAGGACGGTCTTAAATGTAAAACTAAAACATTGTAGATTTTTTTTTCTAAGCTCAGTGTCGAATCTGATTGATCCAGTTTTTTTTTTTTTTTTTTCAAACTGTCAGCACTCGGTGTTTGATGTAGTCAGCATCACACTGGCGTCTTTACTTCCCATCAAATTTCCAGGTACATATTCAAGGCTGCAGTGATGGAGAAGGCAAAGTCAGTTATAAAAACGTCTACTTCTCGGATCAAAAAGGAAAAGGGTAGATGTTCTTCAACCGACATTACTGAATAATTGTAATTTAACCACAGGTAGAGACAGGAAGGTAGCTGCTTTGCTGGGGGAAACAATCGTCACGTTCAACCATCATCCCCAAGGGGGGAGCTTTAGGTTATCATTGTGACTAGGTTATGTGCGCCACATAAAATGGCTTAGCCTTGCACGTCATCAAGAGCCCTGAAAAGGACTCCTTCAATATTTATGCGATCAAAGGAGACAGTCGAAGTCTTCTACCGGTTAGCCTATGGGCCACCCTGTCGCCGATGATGCAAAGGTAGCATTTTCAACAGTAGTTTTTATGCTATTTGTTTGAATAGTAAATATATATTTGTATTGTAATGTCCTAGATGGTCTACATAGCTACATCTAGACAGTTGCGACGTATTGATTCCATCACCCGATCGCCCATTTACGTCCACTTCTCGGAGACTCTTTCTGGGGCAGCTTCCATCCGGGCTTATGGGGCTCAGGAGAGGTTCATAGCCGAGTCCAAGAGAAAAGTGGATCATAACTTCAAGTTTTATTTCGCTGGTATTGCCACCAACACGTAAGGGGTGACCTCATTGTGAATTCTTAGTATCGCCCTCCCTCTCTCCCTCTCTCTCTCTCTCTCTCTCTCTCTCTTTCTTTCTTTCTCTCTCTCTCTCCCTCTCTCTGTGTGTGTTCTCTTGCTGCCTCAAACTCTGTGGATCTCTCTCTCTCTCTTGCTGCCTCACTCTCTGTGGATCTCGAATTTCTCTCTCTCTCTTGCTGCCTCACTCTCTGTGGATCTCGAATTTCTCTCTCTCTCTCTCTCTCTCTTGCTGCCTCACTCTCTGTGGATCTCGAATTTCTCTCTCTCTCTCTCTCTCTCCCTCTCTTGCTGCCTCACTCTCTGTGGATCTCGAATTTCTCTCTCTCTCTCTCTCTCTCTCTCTCGCTGCCTCACTCTCTGTGGATCTCGAATTTCTCTCTCTCTAACTTGTTGCCCCATCATCTGTGCATCTCCATTCTCTCTTCCCTTTATCTTTCTTCCTCACTCTCTGTGCATTGATTCTGTCTGTCTGTCTGTCTGTCTGTCTGTCTGTCTGTCTGTCTGTCTGTCTGTCTGTCTGTCTGTCTGTCTGTCTGTCTGTCTGTCTGTCTGTCTGTCTGTCTGTCTGTCTGTCTGTCTGTCTGTCTGTCTGTCTGTCTGTCTGTCTGTCTGTCTGTCTGTCTGTCTGTCCGTCCGTCCGTCCGTCTGTCCGTCCGTCCGTCCGTCCGTCTGTCTGTCTGTCCGTCCATCCGTCTGTCTGTCCGTCTGTCCGTCCGTCCGTCCGTCTGTCTCTCTGTTTGTCTGTCTATCTATCTGTCTGTCTGTCTGTCCGTCTGTTTGTTTGTCTGTTTGTCTGTCTGTCTCTCTCTCTCTCTCTCTATATATATATATATATATATATATATATATATATATATATATATATATATCCCTTTTTTATGTTCGCTATTTTCTATCTCTCCGTCAGTCTCTTTCTATTATTTGTGTGTGTGTGTGTGTGTGTGTGTGTGTGTGTGTGTGACTGCATCGCTCCATCTCCACATGTCTCTATCACTCTGCGTTTATCTCTATGTACATGTCTGTCTCTCTCCATCTTTCTCCCAATTGTAGTTAACTCTTTCAAGGTATCTGTTTATAGATTTTTGTTTTGTTTTGTTTGCTGTTTTTTTTTTTTTTTTTTTTTCATGCTGTGCAGAATTTTTAATGTAAGGAACACAGACAGATGTTGCAATTATGCCACGTATAGGTCAATATAATAGCTACGGATTAATGACTACATATTTAAAATTACAGACGTGTACCAACTGAAATACTCATATCATGAAATCAATATTTAAAAAGTAAAGTAAAGATCCCTTTTCACGCCTTAGGAGCATGAGGTAAATTGGAAGCGCGTCCCATATGTTTACAGACCAATCGGCACTAGGTGGGCAATGTGGTCAACATTACGTCGGCCGTCTTTACTTCCCCAGGACAGCCATCCTGGCACCCACTTTAGGCTAAGTCGACCCCACGATAAAAAATCTACTCAGCCAGAAGTGGGTTTCGATCGCGGTCCTTTAGAATTACGAGTCGGATTCGCAACGCCTAAGCCACGGACGTCACAATCAGCATTTAAAAGTCTGTTATACTTTATTTGAATGCATATACCGTGTGGGATATGCTGTGCTACAACTAAATCACGTCACACCACTTCGCTGTAAACTGAGACAATAATCCTAGAAGATGCTGGATTTGTTTTACTATTATATTCTTTTTTTGAAATAATTTATGTGTTAAAATCAAGACATGTTCAGAAATACAGGTTTTAGGGCGATATATTTGTGGTGGCCTGTGTGGGTACGGTACATGGTGTACAGTTATTGTTAGGTTGTCGTCTAACTTGTTTACAACTAGGTGGTCAAAGTGTGTATTTAATACCCGCCAAATAGGTCGACCCTAGTTTTGGAAGAATTTTACTTGATTTCAACAATTCGATTTATACGCCTCTGTTAGTAAAAACTGACAAACTTTGAGAAAACCTGAGAACATTATAGCAACGATGTCTTTGCACTGGAACCCACAAGGACACAGAAATAAAGCAATCCAAAAAAAAAAAAAAAATGCGTGGAGAAGGGAGATTGAGTGTGAAGTTAACAAAAGGAGATCAGGGAGTCAGCTCTATGCAGTAGCAGAGTATAGAAAGTCTTAGCTGAGTTTCCGATTGGAGATACGAAGCAGAATCAGAAGTAGTATAAATCAATAAACGCATGTATTTCTTGGGCTCAGTGCATCGGCGACAGGGTCACCCATAGGTTCTCCGGTAGACGACTTCGTCGTCAGTCTTGACAGTATTTGGGTCTGTCTCCTTTAGTCGCATCAAGGCTGCTGGAGTGCTTTTTTCATGGCTTTTGGTAGCGTGAAATGATTAGCCATTTTATTTGGCACACATAACCTAGTCACAATTATAACCTATAGCTCTTTCTTCGGTGATGCTGGTTGAATGTGACTGGACTGAATGAGTGAAGTGTCATCAGGTAGAACATTTCACATTTGCTTGCTCTGTCCCTGTCACAGATGGCTGAGTTTCCTGCTTCAGTTCCTCGGTAACCTGATAGTTCTGGCGGCAGCCATCTTTGCCGTCAGCAGTACTAGCATCGGTACGGGTGTTGTGGGACTTGCAGTCTCTTATGCTACACAGGTAGACATGTTATTCTTGTTGTTTGTGTGTTTTCTTTATAATTATCGTTTTGTCCTGACATGACGTTGGCCACATTCAAGCACGAATTCCGAAGTTTCAGGGAAGAATCCTGTGGATCTCCAAAAAAATATCTGCACCCTGAACGGAACGACGCATCCGTGAAAAGAACCCAAGATCTTCAGAGCGGAAGGCAATCGTCTTGACGAGTTCGCCATGGAGACCTCCTATGTTTCTGTTACGGGGGTCATAACTGAATGTACTCTCCAGGTAATGCGGGACTGAGGGGCAATAAACAAAGTATTTTTTTTTTTTTTTTGGGCATACAAAAGGGAACAGCCTTCTCCTATTTCTTAAAATCCATGCCCTTCTGTCTCGTGCACTTTCAATCAACTCTGACACAGATGATCCTCCATGTCAAACTGTCCAGCATCTTTTGCTCTCATCCTCCCCATGTTCTTCTCGCCACCAACTTTCCTACTGTCACGATGTTTTCTCTTTCTCCTCACATGACCAAAGAATGTAGATTGTCTCTATCTGGTGCGGGCAATCGGTTCTCTTCGAAAATCAGTTTCTTTCAAGACATCTTCATTACTATTTTTATCTGTCCAGGGTATTCTCATCATTCGCCTATTAAACCACATCTCCACAGCTTCCAAATGAATTTTCACTAATCTACTAACTATCCATGATTCACTTCCGTACATCAAGATAGAATTTATATATCATATAAGAATTTTCATCCTGGTCTCAATTGACAAAGAATGACTCAGTGAAATATTCTTCAATTTGTAAACTGCCGCCATCGCTTGAGCTATTCTACATTCAACTTCCTTAATACATATTCCACCTGATGTTATCAGGGTACTCACGTACTTAAACATATCAACATGCTTGAGGTTTGTCCCATTTACTTTGATGTTGCATTTTGGAGGATCAGTTTTCTTTGTAATTTACATTACTTCTGTTTTTCTGCTGTTCAAACTAAGACCCTTGTTTTCGCTTGCCGTTACAATTGTATTTATAATTTCTTGAAATTGTGTTTCACTTTCAGTGATCAAAACTATATCCTCGTCTCAGTTTGTTAGGGGGCTGTGTGGTCTCGAGGCATGGTGTCCGTCTTGAGTGCTAGAGGTTCCGGGTTCAATCCCTGGTGATTTTTTCACGTGGACTTGGACTTCTAGTAATTCCCCCTGGTCTCTGGGTAGTGAGATCGGACGCCCGTGTGCATTGTTGCGCACGTAAGAAATCCCTTGGCAGTTAGAAATCGAAGAGTAGCCTAACGGGTATAATTTGAAGTTAAAAATCGACCCAAAGTATTTCAGGATCTTTGTCGGTACTACAGAGCCTGTGCACTCTACTAAGCCTCTTCGGCCTCAGACTTGAGTTAGAAGCAGAACGCAGCAATTATAGGTTACTACTCGTGTGCCATGATGTTGATCTGTTGTTCAAACCTCAAATCTCCGATTGTTAATTATAGACCCACCAACCGTGAATGCCTATGAATGAAAGCAGGTGTAAAATATTATAATAACTGAAACAGCTTTTTGCAGGCATGCGTCATTTGCCTGTGTAATGACTCAAGAACTGGCTCACAAACAGCACACTGAAATATTTTCAACATGTTACACGTCATGATAGCCTGCAAAGAACGGCGATGCAGGGGGCAGTTTCCGGTAAAAAAGAGTCAGAGGCATATATTTGAGAAAGTGGATACAAAACATTGAAGATGCATTGGTGGTTAAAGCACATAATGCTGGAGAATCGGCTAGAGAAAAAAAGACTTCAGGCGTGACGTAGCGAGAGCGACGTTCTGCAAAGAACCCGCTCACTTATAATGAAGAGTGACTTTAGGTTTAAAAGCTGTAACGTAATTCTCTGCCGTCTGAAATAAGGTATATCAGTGGACGTGATCAGATCTGCTGCTGTTGGGCGTTGTAAGAAGGGTATTCAGGTATTCAGGCTCATATTAGACTAATCAGCCACCTTCACACTCATGATCTTTGACTAATCAGCCACCTTCACACTCATGATCTTTGACTAATCAGCCACCTTCACACTCATGATCTTTGACTAATCAGCCACCTTCACACTCATGATCTTTGACTAATCAGCCACCTTCACACTCATGATCTTTGACTAATCAGCCACCTTCACACTCATGATCTTTGACTAATCAGCCACCTTCACACTCATGATCTTTGACTGTTACAACTTTGGGTGAAAAGTGGTCTTCATCACGCGTGATGGACGAACAACAACATTCAGGTGACATGCTACTATGCATTTAGTGCTATGTTGAATCCTGTTGCTGTTAATGCAGAGGTCAACGCTCTCATCGGCGAAAATTCATACGAAGCAGATGCACTAATCTATACAGACGGATCCGTTATACGCCAAAGAAGAAGCGCATGGGCATTTACAGCACGCTCAGCGGGCAGAACAGTCAAAGAAGCCAACGGCGCCTTCTCCATGACAACCAGCAGCATGACGATGGAGGTGATGGCAGTGACGCAAGCGTTTGCCTGGCTTGAAACACAAAAATACTCCCGTGTATGTATACTCAGCGATTCAATGAGTATGATTCGGAGGGTTCAGGCAGGTTCAGTGCGAAGACAATGGCTTGAATCATTGCAGAAGTCCCTGTGCGTGGCGTCACCTTTATTTTTGTTCCGGGACACGCAGGCGTCGATGGAAATGGAGAGCTGACAGGTTGGCTGGATCCGCTATCACTACCGACAGTCGGCCTATGGATCACGCTGATATTATCAATGCCCTCAGAGAAATGGGAAGGATAGAGGACTTTGGTGGCAGTGAATCCACATCACTTGCCAGAATGGCAGACTTGGGAATTAAGATCGGCACAGCAAAAAACGAGACGCATACCAGCTACGCCAGAAGACTTGTTAATCAACATAGAACTGGTACTATTAGCCATCGGACGTTGGGGTTCATACTGAGGGGAGGATCTGAGCACCTTTGGACATGTCCGGAGTGCAATGATGATAACCCAACTAACTAACTAACTAATTTAGTGCTATGTGGTTCATCTTTGGATTACATTGATCGTTTCACAGGTGGAAGTCTTTTTGGAGAGCCGCATTGATCAAGGCTAAAGCCCTAGAGTCAGTCATTTATGCTAAGAATACGAGAATCTGGGAGTAAAGATCGGCACAGCTAAGCATAAGAAGCACACCGAACGCACACGAAGTCTTGTCAACCAGCATAGGACTGGCACTATTACCCGCGCGACGCTGTATAATATGTTGAGAAGGGAATCTGAGCATCTATGGATCTGTCCGGAGTGTTATGAAGATAATCCAACTCATAACTAGGTCATTTGTACGATGACAGCAGCAAGTGATCAGCTGGTCTGCAGTGAAGCCAAACATAATGAAAAACAGCACCAACAACAACGCATACTGTGAAGGTAATTGGATTATATAACCTGTTACAAAATGTCACTAAGTTGTATACAACATTACTTTCATCCAACTTTAGATGACCGGAGCATTGGAATGGCTGGTGAATATGATGAGCGAGGTGGAGATCAACATTGTGTCTGTGGAGAGAATCAAAGAGTACACAGAGACACAGCAAGAGGTAATATTTTATGTCTTTGTTTCAATGTTTCAGTGTAATAATAGGTTGTGTTTATTCTTAAGCTTTTTTAATTTTTATTTTGAACCGCTGAAGTAATGACACAGACGGATGTGAGTCGTGCACTATTTCCTAGTCCTCCGAAACAGAAAATATGGGATTTTGAGCTAAGAACTGATACAAGATTCTCAAAATACCACAGACAAAGAAGAGAAGAAATACTGACATATTAAAAGATCTTAACATCTAGGAAGATTGGCTAATAAAAAGCATCTTGTCTCGGAAGCTGACCTATTTGGTTCATATCAAACACCATGGCAGACTGGAGCAAAAATGCAAATGTAATGTTACCAGGAAGGAGGGGCAGGGGCCGACCAACACCAAGATGAGTATGAAAGTGCATGAGGCGAGAGAGCTGGCGAGAGACCGAGTTTCTTTCAGGCAGACAGTGAGGAGATCGAAGTTCTGCAAAGGACCTGCTACATGATGATGATGATGTAATGCCTCTTATTTCATTTTGATTTTGCTTCTACACACCCCCTGCTGAATGAGTCTTTCAGTGTATGGATTCCCTATATGTTCTTTCGCACTGTCCATATGACCCCATAGAGCCTTCACAATATCCGCTAGACACATCCATAGGTGCCCAACGGAACGGCAGCAGCTAATCTAACAGCCTGTTCGTTACTTCTCACACATAGATATGCTGGACAGACAATTCATGATATGCTCTTGACCTGCGTTTTATTAAGGGACGCAAGCCACTCTGCGTGCAGGACAACATTCGAAGTGTCCGGGGCCCATGACCCAGATATAGGGGGGGGGGGGGAGTAGTACCTAGACTCTCCCCCGGCGGTCTGGCGGTCTTGGACTCCAGTACACATCCGGCTAGACAGACGGTCTTGTGGGCTGTCAGCTTCATGCCGCTTCAAATTGGTTCCAAAAATTTCTCTATATGTTACCGTGACCAGTGTGATTTTCCCATATAACTTGTTTAGCTTAGATTCTCCTCCTTCTTCTGTTCTCTATTTCTGAAATGCCTTAAAGCATCAGGGGATGAAGAGATCTCTACAATTAGCCTTTTTGTTCGCTTCATATATAAAACTTTTCAGGCACTGATATGTCTGCGGTCCATATTCTGCATGGTCCACCTCTGCCAATGTTACCGTTGTTATCTTATGAGCTTCCATTAGTCCTTGCACATACTGGTCTAGCATCATTAGCCTGATGAATAAATGGCGCACAAAGGGTGCTTTTCTTTATTTTTTACGCAGCGGCTGTATTTCTTCCACGTCGGCGTGCATCTGCCTGATAGACAATGACACAGAAAACTGCACATAAATAAGCCAGATCTGTAAAACGGATGTACTTGCAAAACGCAGGACCTGGAAGAAAACCAAAGTCTAAACATCCAGAGTTTTCAGCCGGAGTTTACAAGCGACAAACTCAAATAAACAACTGTTAGGAAAGGAAACAACAAGCTAGTTGCTTATCCTCTACAGAACGTTACAGAACCAACACCAGCATTTTGTATCCGTTAACGTTTTTTATGGCAAATTTTACATTCAGTAGTTTGCCTTTGCACTGAACGGTCAACTCTCGGTACCACTGTCGAAACCAACGCAAAACAAATTGTCCGCAGCTGGGATCCAACCCGGCACCCCGGCATTACGAAGCGCGTTCGCAACGCCTAGGCCACAGACGCCGACAGGCGACAACAAACTTCACATAAATAAGCCAGATCTGTAAAACGGATAGAGTTCAAACTGTTCAGTGATTGAAATCCATATGTCACATAATTAAAAACAAACATTGACCACAATGCTTATCAAAAGGAGTGAAATTATAATAGCTTTTTTTAAATGTGGCCACAGGCTGCGTGGATTCTTCCAGACCACAGACCGTCTAAAGCCTGGCCAGAACACGGGTTTGTGAAGTTTGACAGCTACCAGACACGGTATCGACCTGGCCTTGACCTTGTGCTCAAGGATGTAACCTGTGACATCAAAGGTGGAGAAAAGGTGAGTTCGTTAGTTGCGTATCCTTTACAAGACGTTGCAGAACCAGTCAGGGGCTGTTCTGTGGGTTTTTTTGGCAAATTTACGTCCAGTAGTTTGCCATTGCTTTCTGGACTGTCGGCTTTCTTGATACCACTGTCGAAACCAACGCAAGGCGCATGGCCGGCAGCTGGGATCGAACCCGGCATTACGAAGCGTTCGCATCGACTTGGCCACAGGTGAGTACATACATTTATTTATAGATATCCCCGCTTGTGGGACCCGGGATTCATCGGCTGGAGGGGTTGGGGAGGGATATATCAACCACTCCTTAACATGCCTGTTGTAAAAAGCGACTGAATAAGAATTTGTTAAAATCAGATGTGTTGGACCGAAAGGATCCGTTACTGAGGCCATGAAGTAAACAAAAACTCAAGTAACGTGTAAAAGTTCACTTGAAGGAAAACAATTTTAGAACTAATAACGGCCCATTGCGGAATGCGATCAAATGATTTCGCTAACTGATTTAAAAAAAAAAAAAAGAGAGAACAAAAGAGAAACGACACATTTATTCATTGTCATTTCCAGAAATCAACTCACTTATGAAGGGAAAATACGCACAAATATGGAAAGATGAAACAAGCAGTAAACTCCACAAGACTCCAATAGCATTCATCAGAAGAACAATATACATATAATTTTCGTCTAAGAACATGATACCGCAGGCGCAGCTACCACAGGTATAAAAAGATTGAGGTATTTTGGCCGCCGCCTGACTAGTGTTGTCGCCACAGACTGTGCAGTTTAGGATGTTTTATGCTGCCTCCGACAGAAAAACTACATTACCTTACCTGGGTCTTTCGCAAGAGAGCCTTACTTTGTAACCGCTCGGCCAGCCGCTCCTTACCTTATTTATATGAGTGTTTATTGAGTCTGCAGTTTCCAGAGTGTAAGTGACAAATTGTGACTTGGTCTGTTCTGTTCTGATGTCTAAGGAACTATAATCCATTGTTAAAACCTGTCTGTTTTTTTTAGACTCTGTGTCTCGCATAAACCTTGTTATTTCTGTTACAGATTGGTATAGTGGGTCGGACTGGAGCAGGCAAGTCTTCAATGACCGTTGCCTTGTTCAGAATCATTGAAGCAGCTGGCGGTAAAATAGTCATCGATGGAGAAGATATTGCTGCCATGGGCTTGCACGATCTCAGAAGCAAGCTAACTATACTGCCTCAGGTATGCTGGTTTATCACTAGCATTAGGATTTTAGCGCCACATAACTCGGATACACAAAGCACTAGTGTATCGGAAACATGAAAACATAATGGCTTTATAATGACATTATTAAAATAATGTAGCTGCTTTATAACCAGTTAGTTATTTAGTTGCTTAGTCTCTGTTTTAATTTTTGACAGCCAACATGAGACACCCCGGATGAGAAAAACACAAAGTAACACGGTTCATGTGGTGCCTGCTCAGAATATAGGGAATTACATGATATGAAAGAATCACTAATGCAGAGCTTTTGGAGAGAACTAAACAAGTTCTAGTGGGCCAAGAGGTGAACAAAAGACGCTGACGTTGGATAAAACACACGCTGAGAAAACCTGAGATCAGTATAACTAGAATGTTTTAGCACTGGAACCAACAGGGACATAGAAATCAAGGAAGACTAAAATAAACATAAAGAAGGAAGCTTGAGAGTGAAGTTGAAAAACATGGGGAGAACTGCATGTGATAGCGAAGGGTAGAACGACTTGGCGTGAGTTGGTTGAGATCCTATACTCCACTGGGAGCTAGAAAGACAGAAGAAAAATACTGTCCAACTAGTCTGTAGCTGACTTAGAGCCCTGGTATATTGGGATTATAAACCCGCATTGAAAACCACACAAGCCATAGATGTCTACATGTTCATATGTCATCTCAAAGACAAGGCGGTCCTACTTTAGCTTCCCCTGTTTATGCTTCACCTGGGGATTAACACTCAAGGAGAAGATGAAGAGAAGGAAGAAGAAAAGGAAGTTTGGAAAATATCATTTTGACTATGAAGCCACAAAAGACTCTGTATTAGTTTCAGTCTTGTAGCAGATATATAAAAGTAACCATGGAAATGAGATGTTTGATAAGAGCAGCACTAGTTACCCCCCCCCCCCCCCCCCCCCCCAAAAAAAAAAAACGACACACAAAAATCAATTATTGAGTCATCAGCGCAAAAGCCAGCACAAAATCAGTATCAAATTACACACACAGACAGCGTTTGCCCACTTAGAGAGAAAGCCTTGAGAGGCCACGCCATATGAGGCATACACCAAAAGAGGAGAATTACATAGAGCACAAGGTAGACAAAGAACAAGATGAAAAGACAACATCATAGACACTCTACAACAACACGAGGTGTCTGTGGTCGAGGTGACTAGAAAAGCAATAAGTAGAACCTTGTATCTCCCTCGATACCCGAAGCATTCGGAGGTCGCAGTTAACCGCCATCATCTGGATCTTCACAACTGGGTAGGCAGGAGTAAATAGTAATACAAGAACTGACCAACAAGCAAGTAATGCATCATTGCAAACGGGAAGAAGCTTGGACGAGCTGATATCATCATCGCTGTATGGAATAGGTTGGAGGATATTGGCATATCTCTGACGCTAACACGACTGCGTGACCGAGGAGTTAATCTTGGTGAAGCATAACTATGTCGTCTTCGAGGTAAAGACAGGGGATACTGTAAGTAACTCCTCATGGGAACAATCTGTAGAGATACCTTGGTTTGACTGCTGTATCGGAGGACTGAGCAGGCATGGGGACACCCAATGTGCAATGTCGTTGATTGTGATAAATAACGTAACAGAACATAACCTGAAGCGTAAAAGAAGAAGTGAAGAAGATGAAGACGACTACTTGTATATGATAGATTAGCTACAACCTTTGTATGAAATGATTAACTGTAGCTTGCTTTATACAGAAATAAAACGTCTTCCCTACAGGAGCCAGTCATTTTCTCCGGAACTCTTCGAATGAATCTTGATCCCTTCTTAACCAACTCCTCATGGGAACAATCTGTAGAGATACCTTGGTTTACTGCTGTATCGGAGGACTGAGCAGGCATGGGGACACCCAATGTGCAATGTCGTTGATTGTGATAAATAACGTAACAGAACATAACCTGAAGCGTAAAAGAAGAAGTGAAGAAGATGAAGACGACTACTTGTATATGATAGATTAGCTACAACCTTTGTATGAAATTATTAACTGTAGCTTGCTTTATACAGAAATAAAACGTCTTCTCTACAGGAGCCAGTCATTTTCTCCGGAACTCTTCGAATGAATCTTGATCCCTTTGACAGCCACAATGATGAGGAAATCTGGGATGCACTGGAACACGCCTACTTGAAGGACTTTGTGTCCGGCCTCTCCATGGGCTTGGCCTATCAATGCGGGGAAGGAGGCAGCAATCTGAGGTAGGCTGGTTTCCTTTTGATTTTTCTCATAGTCTACTTTCAAACAAAGTGAGCCAGTCTTTCCCTTTTAATGGCCCGCTGTCCCCTTCGTGGGGAGGAAGGGAGTCTATAACGTGAGTTTAAGGAAGTTTAGGGGTACGTGATATCATTTACAGTTACCTCATTCTAGGTTTCGGAGCCCCTTGGAAAAAGGGAGGTGGGGAGGGGGGGGGGGGTTTATAGACCCATAGATTTGATAGGTGATGACGATGACGATGAAGACGACAGTAATAATAATGGTGAACACGATGATGATGATGATAGTCTTAGTGAACTCTCACTTCGCCTGCTTCATATGTCATTTAAATATTTTTATTGAAGTGTGTTTAATGATGAACGTAAGACACTATTCCTCCGGCTTTCATCATACAAGACTCGGTCTCTTCCAGCGAAGCTGCTGGTAACATGCCGAAAGCATCACAAAAAGCACACATCTCTACATCTCCAGCGTCAAACCTCTGGAATCTCTGAATCGCATACAATCTGAAACGAACAACACCAATAGGAAATGACCTCGTTTTCACGGAGACCTGTCTAAATTGTTTAAACAGTAGTGCAGTGTGTTTATCAATGGCGACGCCAGTATAATGACACGATACACAGTGCGTATAAGATTATGCCAGCCGCGTTTACTTTCGAAGACATTTCCTCGTACACAATTTTAGATTGGGTCAATATTGGAGCCTAGTTTTATTCTTTCAAAAAATTAGCCCATTATGGTTTCGAACTAAGACCTTGGGGGCTGGAAGTCCAGATTCTGGCCACTCTGCTAACATGGCTTTCTCATATTGTTTCATTCATTCATTCATTTAATCATTCGTTTATTCATTGATTGACCTTCTGTACTATTGTTTGTCACATAGGGTTCGCAGTTTATTCCCACACCCCCACACCCATTGGGTTATATACTTTACGATACATTCAATACGAAGAATGGAACCCAACCTAGCCCTTTCAGCTTCTATCATCTAGGTTCGCCTTTGGGTTTCTCTTAGACGTTCCCGAACCCCCGAGGGGGCTCAGTGGTCTCGAGACATGGTGTCCGCCTCGAGTGCTAGAGGTTCCAGATTCAATACCCGGTAAGAGCTGGGATTTTTTCACGGCGCTGCCCGGACAAAATTTGGAGTTAAAAATCTACCCAAAGTATTTCAAGATCCTCGCCGGTGCTACAGAACCTGTGCACTGTGCTGAGCTTCTTCGGACTCAGACTACTTGAGTTAGAAGAAGAACGGAGCACTTATGGTTTACCACAAGTGTGCCATGATGTTGATCTGTTGTTCAAACTTCAGATCTCCCGTTTCCCCAGTTCCTGTTTCTCATTGCATTGCCTGTATGTTGATTCTCTATTCGTCTTTTCTTAGAATGTATCCAATGTAGCGCAATCTTCTCTTTCTTATAACTATTGATATTAACTCTTTGAGTCCCAGGGGGTTTAGCATCACAGGCCCGGGGGTAGTAAAGGGAGTTATAAAATCGGCGCATCATGCCTTCATTTGGACTTTTAGGTAGGAACCTATGAATGTATGATGCGCTCCTTGCGACTCAGCGAGTTAATAGTTGCACAGATATTAATATTATTTCTTCACTCATCGTGAATTCATTCTATTTTATATTCATTGTTTTTTCCCTGAAGCATTTGTTGTTTAATGCATTTAGCTTGTGTTTTTGGTTTGATGTCTGATGATAACAGCTATCAACGCAGGCGCTGCACGTGAAAAGATCTGAAGTGAAAACAAGAGGCTGCCCTAGGAGAAAATGGATTGAGATCATTAAAGAGCTTCTACGTTGACGTGGAATAACAATAGCTATTCTGCCCATCAAGCAATGGATCGCAATCTGTTTCCTCTCCACGTCGCTAAACGGCAGCAGTGGAAATTGATGATGATGATGATGGTGAGGATGATGATGATGATGATATGGACCTTAGAAATATCATAGACATTTATAAATACTTTATACGGAGCTAACAGAAGAGCTCGTTCTAGAGATCTCTTTTTGTCCTGACGCCGCAAGGCATTTCAGATGCAAAGAAAAGAAGAAAAAGAAGAAGATGTGATGATAATATTTCAGTGAATCATTAACACCGTTGATATACAATTGTTTTACAAACAGTGTTGGGCAGCGTCAGCTAGTTTGTCTGGCCCGAACCTTACTGCGCAAAACTAAAATCCTAGTTCTGGACGAAGCCACGGCCGCTGTTGACTTTGAGACCGATGAGCTCATTCAGAAGACAATTAGAACAGAGTTCAAGGACAGCACGGTGCTTACCATCGCACACAGACTCAACACTATCCTTGATTATGATAGGTAAGATTATCTTTATGAATCTCTATTATATAAATGTTGAATGTTGAATTCAGAATTGACATCGTAGCACTCGGGACACTCCCATATGCGCCCCGTCCCCATCTTCAGCAGCAGAGTTCAAATTCCGATGGCACCAAAGAAAGTCTTATTGTATATCCGTCTCGCCTTTCCCTTGAGTGCTGTGCATTGTCCAGATCCCCTGGCAACTCCTTGCAGCGACATTCTCCTCAGACCGTTCTATTTTATAAAGTGTGAGTTAAAGTAAAAATGTTGAGTTCTCTCGCCTTTCTCTTGGCCACTTATGTATGTGAGTCATGGACTTTTATTCAACCTCGAGTGAAAAATAAAAAAGAGCTTTTGAGCTAAAATCGTCATCATCAAGTGCCTTGCCGGCTGGTGAAAGCTTTCATACATTTCCACAGATTTATCGGTCTTTTAGGTTCTGGATCAATTCCACTGATGATTTTCTTCTATGCCACTGTCTTAAGCCATCCTACATGGTTTCTACTGGCCTGTCTCTGCATGTTCTACCAGTGATCTTTCCGGTCGTCACGATATTTTCCGGTGCTCCTTTTCTCATCACATGACCAAAAACTTTGTTTATCTCCTTCTCATTGTTGTATATAATGTTCCACTTTCAGTATCCATTTTCAGCCAATCATTGTCAGTTATTCTATCAGTCCAAGGTATTCGCAACATTCTTCTCAAGAACCACATCTCA